ACATGTTACATACTGCCAGGCCAATTCCTGAAAAAGTAGACACAAAACAAAATACATAACATATCCAACGATGAGAAAACCAATGATATTAATAAACTCTAAATATCATTTTTTTTTGGCGCGTCAATTACATGTTACATACTACCAAATCAATTTCTGGCACAGCATTTTCTAGTCAGCATTCAAAACTAATCCGACAAATGCAGGGGTCTACGCCCCACCCCACCCCCCAGAAAACTAATCCGGTGAAATTAATCCAGCAAAATTAATCCAGTAGCCCACATGGTACCCAGGATTAATTTTCTAAGGCAAGAGACCCCAAGCAGTGTCAAATAGAACAAGGAAAGGTGACAAAACGTGTGCTACATTGCGGTTACCCCTTTCTACTCTAATGTTTGTCGTCGTCGGGGGGCCTACAAACAAGGTGTGTCGTTGGAATGCCTCTGCTCTAAACTTTACCATCCGGTGGTCTACAAAGGGTAAGCTCCAAGTCAGAATGGCTCCTTCGTGCTCTAAATTTACCCATGGGTGGCACACGGGAGATTTGCACCAAATTGGAATTGCTCCTTTTCTGCTCTACAGTGACCCCAGGTGGTCTCAGGTTACCCTTGTGTGGCCCACAGGACCAGGGGGACAGGAACCAGAAAACCAAGGGGCAAAGGGACCAGGAGGACCAAGCGACCAAAAAACCAAGGATCAGTGGGACCAGGCGACCAGGTACTCCGGACGCAAAGTGTGCATGACATCCACAACTACAACACCCACATACAACTCGCGATGGCTGCAAGCTCAGACTGTTTCCAAAATCTCGGGAAATGTTACTCCGTCACACCCAAGCTCCTGACTCGCAAATGCCAAGGTTTGCGATTCCTGGCCCAAAACAAGCTGCAACGCTACAGGTCATCTTTGCTTCCAAAGACCCTGCCAACCCTGCTCAGTTTGCCTCCATGGAGGTATTGGCTGCTGTGGACAGGACCGAGGTATTGAGCTCTGCCTTTGCCTGAAATGCCAGGAGCCCCTAGTAGCGTCGGCCAGGAGCCCCTAGTAGCGTCCTTGCTCCTAATAGTAAGGCCAGGAGCCCCTAGTAGCTTCTTGTTTCTGAGCAATGGGTGTGGAGATTAGCAATAAATCTCCTAGCTCTCCCATTTTAGAACTTGCTTACACTTACACACTTCCCTGGCTTTCCCGTCTGGGATGCGGACTGGTGCAATCTCACCATCAACATCAGGTCCCCTGGCGCTTGGACCATCTCGACATCATGCCCCTGTTATGCCTACAAAGAATGAGCACGAGCCTCACAGGCCCTCGGGCTGACCTGGCCACACGAGGAACATAAGAGGTCAGCCTTGCTACGAGCAAAGCCTTTCCAAAGCAACAAAACCCAAGCACGTCGGCTTCGCGGTATCATAGGTAAACCACCTACAGATACACAAAAGCTGCTACACCACTGCGCGCTTGTGAGGGCCGCCAAAGATACTATCGCTCTTACTCTCGCAAGTCTGCCTGAAGGATCCTGGTGCGCGACTACATCAGGCATTGGTGGCGGTGGAGGGACCTTCAGCAACATTTTGTCATCCTGGATGTGAGATGGTGTGCTCAAGCAGCATCAGGCATGCTAAGAGAACTGCAGCAGGAACACTCTCGTCAGTGAACCAGTTGTCGGGCGGAAGGGACCTCACGCGCAGATTTGCCCTTACAAAGCAAGTGCCGCTGGCGGCGGCTCCGTTTGGCTGCCCAGCTTCATTGGTAACGGCTCGACCTGGTGGCACAGTGTGGCAATGTGGCAGTTAGCACAAATGGGTCTGGAATCTGGCCTCCACAGCGTCCTCTTCAGGAGGCTCCTCACATCTCATTCAGCACGCCTATGTGTAGACTCTCTATACGGTGCTCATGCAAGTGCATCTTGCTTTTCGAGATGTCCTCGTATGACACAGTCGGAGGGCCGCGAATCTGCTCGGTTCCATCTGGTAGTGACTCTGCATCTGGAAGCTCAATTGTGGCTTCCATGACCTCGAACGCTCAGCGTGCAGCTTGCACACGAAGCTTGGTCACCCCGGCCTCTTCTTGAAGTGAAGCACTTTCATCTGCTGGCCTGTAAACTACAGCCAAAGGGCAAGGTCTTGGAACCACCACTTAGGTGACCCTTGGTGAGAAGCCAGAAGGTTGTATCGTATTGTACAGTACGGCATATAGAGTATAGTGTAGTGCCATTCTTTGGAATGTAGAGTTCGACTTGCATACGAGGTTCCTGCAATGATAACGGGTCAAAATCTGTGGCTCCGTACTCGCTTGGCTGCACTTCCTCTCAAGAAACAAACTGTATCCCGCTTCGTATGCAATATGCCTGTTCGTTCTGCTTTGATCGCACACTCGAAATACTGTTAAAATGTGAAGCCAAGATTTTGCCTAGGCACTCAAGGACTCTGAATCTCACGGCACAAGGACTACTAGGAGCAAAGAAGCTACTAGGAACAAGTGCCTCACTAGTAGTAACAAGGACGCTAGTAGTAACATCTAAATCATCTCTCGTGTAGATTCCGTCCATGCTCCAACTTCATGTGTGTATACTGTATACATGAGCATGCTGTTGCAGGTGAGGTGGTGCCTCTGAGTGGACCGCTTCAGCTGGCTTGGCAAACTGCTCTACTTCGTCTGACAGATCAGCCGCTTCCACAGGAGTGACTTCTACAACAGGAGTGTTGGCAACTGCCACTACTGCGTCGGCAGAAGCTTCGGGAGCGACTTCGTCAACAGAAGCTTCGGTTGCTGCAGGTGCTGTTGTGGCTGCAGTGGCTGCAGCTGCCGCTCGCGCTATATCTGCACCACGGCCTGCTCATTGAAAAGTACCAAACACTCTTCCGGTGCAACACACCAATGGGACATGTAAGAACAAACTCAATTCTTGGATTTACCGTAGATTCGACAAAAGCAATCCACTACAGAAGGAAATCTGCCAATGCCCTTGCCTCTGGTATCACTCGCCTTGGAAAACCAGAAACCGAGGAAAGTCTAGAAACCAGAAATTGCTTTCTCTCTGCTCATTTCGTTTCATTTTGTTTCATTCTTCCTAATGAACATCGAACACACGCGCCTTGGCTTCCTGGACCTTCTGGATGGCTGGCCACGGTTCTTGGGGAGGTTGGAGGAGGCGCAGGCCGTGCAAGGGTTCGGCCATGTCCTTCACCAGAATTGCTCGAAGTAACTAAGTGCCTAGAGACCAAAGCAGACAAAAACAAGCTCAAGTTGGAAGTAAATAGCTTTATACTGGTGTTGTTTTCAGGAACCTTGCCAATCTGAATTCGGATGACGTTGGGCCACACTCAATGATCCCTGGTCATGTCCTCCGAAAGGAAATGATCAACAAATTCCAGCCGCCCCTTAGCGGGAGAGACTTGCGAATCTTAGGATTGGAAAAAGGACAATTTATAGAATCAAGCAGCGATGTAGTTTGGATCGTTTGTCTGATGGAAACTTTGCGGCACAAAGATTCAAACTACCTCTGCGAGACTGCTTCACGCATCTTCAGGCTGTCACCAAATGCAGCATTGCCAACTCCTGGCCGGCCCATGCTGCTAGCTGCTGGCATTGATTTTTTAAAATTGATTGTGTTGAAATGTTTGAACCTCTTTGGAAACGTTCTGCAGAATTGCGTTGGAAGCGAGAAAGTCGTATGACTTTTGACAGGAAGCAGGGAAAGACATACAAACTAAGTAACTAAGCATTTACTTGGAGCATTCAGGCATATGCATCCAAGACCGCACGCAAACACCGTTCTATTCTGTCACAGAAATACGAAGTACACGCAAGGTAGGTGAGCCTATGCATACGTGCTGCCCCTAGCCACCAATTAGCTTCAGTATGTCAAAAGAAGAAGCAACTACTGTTGATTGACACGATCCTGCACCGCAGGTATAGTGATACCCAATCCACTGTAAGTACCAATGTCTATGAGTCTATGATTTCCAAGTGGTGCAGCACGGTTTTGTCCATCAGTATGATCCGGTCAAGGTCAATTGACTGTCAGGAGTTCGAAAGCTGTTGCCAAAAGCGGTCTAATTCGAGCAGAATTGAGAAATACCAGAAAGATCCAAAAAGCATCAGAAATGTCAAAGGGTCGCTATTAGGTGGAGGCCATCGCAAGTAGGATGGAGGCAATCTCTACTAGGAACAAGGAGCTACTAGTAACACAGGGTAAAGCAAATGCTGCTGCTCCATCTCAAGGCTCAGTCCCTGGCCTCTGAGACATCGTCAAATTGCTCGAAAGAATCGCCATAGTGCTCCCACCTCAGATGCTTTCCAAAGCAATGAGTCCAATCGTTCCACACTTTCCAAAGTCTACCTTCCTCCGATTTGGGACAGAACGAAGCAGCCAATGCTTCTACAAGTTCACGTCGGGTAATTCCCTGCGCACAAAGATGACGCCAAGGCCGCCAAGGCTGTCAAGAGCTTGAGCCTGAGAGTCCTCCTTCTCGCCGCTGACCTGCACAAGGGCATCACAAAACCATCCTTTTGGGCGGTTGTTCTTCCACAGGTTGTTCATCCTTTGGGGCGGCCAGGGAGCTTGTCCGCAGAGGCACTCAGGCTTTAGCACTCGAGTCATTGGTTTGACTCCTATTCTAATAGCTTATTCTTTCTACTAGTAAGGCACTTGTTACTACTAGTAAGGCACTTGTTACTAGAAGCGATGCACTTGTTACTAGCTAGCTTCTTGCTGCCCAGAAATGGAACTCACGGCGCCTCATCGAAAATGAACTCCAAGAAGCGTTCTGCCAACTGCCTATCCTCAGTGCACCCTTGAAGCTGCAAGTTACCGTCTTTTTGCAGTCCAACAGTGTGTGGAAGCCACTTGAAAATCATCATGGTGTTAGCCACTCCACAACTTAGCTCGCTGCATCACCTTGGTCACCGTGATCACCATCAACTGTATCCACCTGCACTTACCACGTCATGTGAGTCGAGTTTCTTTATGGTTTCGAGAGAGGCGAGGTCTGATGCACTCATCTTTTTCAAGCGAGGTCTGGGCGATGTTCACTGACATGCACAACTAAACTAAATGTCTATCTACTGACTACTGAGGCGGACGGAAGGCTACTAGGTGTCATCTTCCTCAAACGTTTGCCTCACTACCACTTCGTTTGCTTCGAGGTCTTCCTTTGTGGAAGTTGGCAAAGCCAAGTCAACCCCCAATGCAAACAGGCAACAAACGCCGCGGAGGCAAGGTGAGACTAAACAATCCACGACCTCCACAGGGCGTCGAGTCGAAGAGTCTCAGCTCCTTGTGGAACTTCCCCTGGCACTCAAAAAGGACGGAAGGTGGAACTTGGGACCTTCAGGAGGAACACACGTCACGCCTCTGTGGAATCCCTCTTAACATTCTCACCGGGTCTTGCTCTTCGGATGCTTCCACCGCCAAATCCTCCTGGCCACGTTAAATCTTGGTGTCCAGCGGATGAAGCAGCAGCAAAGCTTCACACTCAGCCGTGGAAGCAGCCATACTGCAAGTATTAACCAGAGCGGCAAGGTTACTGCAATCCTCAGCTTGCAAAGTCAAGTGACACAAGTATTGTATGTGTTCAGATCCAACCAAGCCTTCACTAGTTGCCTTCAGGGTGCATGTCAAGCATTGTTCGAGCCGCGCGTAAGCCAGCAATCTGATTTGCGTGCGGAAACGAAGAGATGGCAAGCACCGCATCATGCACCGCCAGGAATTCTAACAAGGGTTGCCTCATGAGGTGCAGAAATTGCAGCGAAAAGACCTGCACGTCCCTACATCCCTTTGGATTGAAATGGATGGAACCTGCATTGCGCTGCACTCTGGTCTCCCAGTGACCAAAAGCCCCACTCATCATGACCTCCATCTCCACTTGCTGTAAAAAACAAAAAGCTGTATTGTATGTGCTAGTAGGTTGGAGGCCTTTGCTAGTAGGTTGGACTGTTTCCTGGTTTTGCAGAGCCGCCAGCCGCTTTGGACTTCAAAGACCAGGAAGCGCTTTGAAGAGACGTTCTGTTCCAGCCTCAAACGAACTTGCCGATGCAAAGAAACCCAGTCCTTCAAGTTGGCCGATCTCCGAGGTTGGAAATTCAATCATGCCAAGCACGCGCAGCCTTCTGAAAAACAACGATCGTGTTATTGAAATGTAGAATGAACTTGACTTGAATAGATGGATGTCAAGTTGACTCACTCAGCTCCTCTCGCTTCTCAGCTGCGAAGGCAGGAAGACTGGTGACAATCTCAAACCAAGGGAGTGGTCGCCAAATGTGATCAGGATAGCTGGGAAAAGGCCAGTCGAAGTCCCAAAGCACCTAGTCAGAACTGGTCGGAACACACATCGACTTGGCCATTTGAGGGAATGCAAAAAGCTCCAAAGACTTGAGCAGTCTGGCCTTCAGCAGCTGCTGGTTGAACTTCAAATCCAGCAACCAGTTCCACGGTCTCACGACCAACGGCGACAGGATATCATTCATGTTGGCCCAAGAAGTCACCCATTCTTCATCTCGCCTTCGAACATGTCATCGATGAACTCCCCCATCAGTTCCGATGAACTATAGTATCTGTATTGAACACACCTAGACCCAGTCTGTTCTACACGTGAAAATTTGATATCTGTTACCCAGCTACCTTTCCATCGTGAGGTTCTGGCAGGGTTGCACAGCAAAACAACTTGTCTTCCTGTCTTCCCATTCTTTTTCAAGCTAAAAGCGTCTGGAGCACAAACAAAGTAAACAAATCTTCTTCCCAATCATCATAGGAGCAAGGACGCTACTAGGGGCTCCTGGCATCGCTACTAGGAGCAAGGACACTACTCTTGTCATGTGATACGATGGCGGTTTCTTGAATACCTCTTCTGACCCTAGCCTTCATAATGCCCCATCATCAGGTCAGTCCCGCACACATCTCCGTCACAAAAACTAACTACTGAAATACTCCTACATGGCACAACAGGGTCCCCAGATTGAACTTGGACTCTGCCCGACACCTTCAATGGACCCTATGAAGTGCGCTCAAAACTTGGATTTCATCGCACTTGATTCAGAATGAGGGGAAAACAAGGTGTGCGCAAGTGCAGGCCTCACAGTCATGATGACCTTGGTGGAAGGCCGCGTTTCAGCTATTTCAGAAGCAAACAGATTCATGGGGAAGTCCATCGTGGCGGTGTAACCTCAATACACTGCAGCCTCCACCCTCATACCTGCATGTTAATGTTTGAGCTAGCTCAATTCATTGCCTGGAATACAACGACTATGACCTTGCTGTTGCGCAAACTCAGCTGAAAACCGGTTAGCATTATATAGATAATTTCATTGCACTGCTTTCTAGTCCAAGGATGGTTGACAAATTAAATTGCACTAGCTTGCTTGTCAGCTAATAAGCGATGGCCTCCAATCTAACAGCAATAGATTGTGTATGTCTGCTTTCTAGGTGCCCAAGTCTTCCAGCATTGAAAGCATCTGCTCCAAACGGCTGCGATTTCCATCTCGCAACTCTTTGGCCGTCGCAATCCAGGCAGATGCCTCAGCGACGCAACGCTTGGAAAAGAGGCGCTGTAGCGAACGCAACAGTATGCACTGAGTCTCCAGTTCTGAGTGGCTGTCGCTGGGTCACTCAGAGTCGTTGTAGTTTTTTGAGAAGCACAACAGCTGTGGGATGCTTCTCTTTGAATTTTCGAAGCAGTGTGTGTGTGTGTGTGTCTGTCAACTCCTGTCCCAAAGAGGATGTACAGACTTGCAGGGGGTCCAGGCAGTTGTGAGTTGGCCCTGGACCAACGAAGACGGACTCACAACTGGTGAAGCGAGAAGGGGCGCCTTCTCGTGTACCTGCAATTTTAACACACCATAAAGGGCTAATGAGCTTCCTCCGTCTCACCCATGTTAAAACAATACTGTTGATGAGGACTCCTTCACCTTGCGGTTCACCAGCCAAGGTCTGATCTGCAGTAAGCGTCAAGGGGTAATCTTACAGGGAAGTCATAACTGATACAGCTCTTGCGAGCCATGATCTAAGTGTGTCTCGCAACAGGGTCCCACTGAGGTCTGTTGTGTGATGCGCTTTTTGCACATGCCCTCAAGGGTGAACAAACACAGGAATCTCGTTTCTGCCGGATTAGCTGCTTGCTCGAGCTCGCCGGTTTGAGCATACTGAGACCACAAGAATGACATGCCTCATGCGTCTAAGTAGTCACTTTGTACACCCATGTCATGCCGCTAAGTATTCACTTTGCTGTGTTGTTTTCCTTCCTTCGGGTTCTCTTCGTTTTCTAGGCCTTTCTTCGTTTCTAAAGGCTTTTAGGTGTAACTGATGCTTTTTGGTCAAGGGAGCGCCGGTTTCGGCTTTCTGGTCAAGTGCCTTCGCCTGCGCGAATCCCCCCACCCGACCCCACACACACCCCTGTACCCCTTTTCTTTCTTCGGTTGCCTTCTTCGTTTGTTTGGTCTTTCCTTCAGGCTTGTTAGGTTGACTTTTGGGCCCGTTTAGTCGATGCACTCCCCTCCAATTCCCGCGCAAAAAAAGAGGGCGCGCCGTTGCGGCATTCTGTGTGTGTCAACTCCTGTCCCAAAGGATGTACAGACTTGCAGGGGGTCCAGGCAGTTGTGAGTTGGCCCTGGACCAACGAAGACGGACTCACAACTGGTGAAGCGAGAAGGGGCGCCTTCTCGTGCACCTGCAATTTTAACACACCATAAAGGGCTAATGAGCTTCCTCCGTCTCACCCATGTTAAAACAATACTGTTGATGAGGACTCCTTCACCTTGCGGTTCACCAGCCAAGGTCTAACCTGTCGTAAGCGTAAAGGGCTAATCTTACAGGGAAGTCATAACTGATACAGCTCTTGCGAGCCATGATCTAAGTGTGCGTGTGTACCTGGTTGCAATGCTCACAGAAGAACACCTGCAAACCAGGCACGACAAAGGAATGGTGAACACAGCATCCCAGCCACGGCAAGTCTTGACATTTGATGTCCTTTCCGAAGCCTTCAGCGACTGATGATTGGGGAAAAGAGTATTCAAGCGAGGTCGGCTATTGGTGCGAGGGAAATCGGAACAGCATCAAGAGCTCACAAGCAGGCAACACAAAGACAAATCTTGGACACTTCCTGGTCTGGTAAGCCTGATTTTTGTTTTTGTACTGGAATGCATCCACAAGCTATATAGTTTAACGAATGTGTGGCGTCAGCAGAAATGTTTCCACCTGGTGAAGAGGGAACAAAGCCGAACACTCTGTCCCAACAGACGGTGCTCTCCAGGCAGCTTGCCAAGTCGGGTGTGCTTTTCGGTGTGCAATGTGAACGGCTCAAGCACCAGCTGAGATACCTGAATTTTCCTCTGCGTCGAACCTCGTTTGTGCTTTTCACACCATGTTTGAGGGTCCAAGATGTGTTCTGCTCTTTGCAACAAATGGGTTGCACGCCAACTTCCAGGATCTCTCGAAAACTTGCCGTGCACTCTATTCATATATATATATAATGCCAATATAATATCTGATAGAAGAACTCTGTTGGTCTGACTTTTCTCGAACTTATTATATACATATATATATAGTAACATCATACATCCAGTTGTCCATAGTGATTGGCCTCAAATGGAAAAGCTGATCTGGCTGACACCAAAGCTGCATGGCCCCACTGAATGATAGAGCGAATGTCGTAGATTTTGTGGCCCAGTTTTTCCAGTGCTATTTGTAGTGACTTGGCACCAGACCCAGAGAAGCCTGACGGAAATGAAATGGAGGCTGCCACGAGGGCATTCTACTCAACATCCAGAAAAAGCAATAGGAGAGCTTGAAGGTTTCTATGTATGTCCAAAGTCTTTTGCTGGATGGTCAAACAGTTCCACGAGAAGTACAGTATGGAATGAATCCATGATGAGGTTGTTCCTGACTCCATGATTAGTTGCTAGTTCTCTCCAGTCATGTCTTTGTAAGTGCCTGCAACTTGGCTGTTTCTGTCCTTCAAGTTGCCAAATCCAGCGAGATGGATTTGGAATTGTGTTCAAGCAATACTGACATTCCTTCAGCCTTCTTCACCCAATCGAAGCTTTTTGTGTGTCAATGCATATTGCGTCGACGCCATTTCACGCCTGCACCTAGGATCTCCAGCTTTCCGCTCTGCCGCTGCTCCACAAAGTCAAGCCCCAGGAAGGTAGCCATCAGCCTTCTGGAACAAAGGCTCATAGTCCAAGATTGGAGCTACTGGCGTGGACTACTGTGGGCTTGCAATTGCCCAGGCTACAGTTGCATGAAATCTCGTGCCCATTGTCAAAGAGGCACTCATTCTGGCATGGCCATGAATGGAGACATGGCGCCTGACAGATCTTCGCCAACCTTGGACAGTGAAGCTTCATTGATCTGGATAAAGCAAGGCGCTTTCATTTCATCCCAACGACGAAGCTCAGAGCCAGGCTAGTGTCTTCAGCGCACGTCCCATCCAGGAGTGATGCCAGATAGAAGGCTCTTGGAAAAGTCATGGCGGTTGAACGTCTGCCTGACGGCCTCTTCCACTTTTTGTTTTGAAGCTTGCCTGTTGATTGAGTAGTCTCATCTGGATACAAAGGGCTTTGTTCCCTGCATAACTGCTGTATATAAATATATAGAGAGAGAGAGAATGCCATGCTGTTGATCAAGTTGATCAAGAACTGTTTCAGATTGTCACTCACGCACTGCCATGAAAATGCTTACCGGTTCTCATTGCCACAGTTTGACTCTGCCATACGGCTTCGCGATACGTCACCCTGCACAAGGAAGAGGCCGCAGTGAATTATATATATATCATCTATATATATATATACAAATCACGCGTCCGGCGTCTACAATCAGCCTTTTGTCCAGCGCAAAAGAAATTCCAACGCTCAAAGGTCAAACAAGGGATGGTGTCCCAAGCCCCTCAGCTTGAGCTGCGCCAAGTACGCAACAAACTCGCTTAGCTTTTCAAACCACCATCTGAAGTTGTGAACGGCATTCCTTGCAAGGCAACTCTGGAGCAGCTTTCCATTTGGCTTGCCAATCATCCTTGTAAAAGTCAACGAACTCTGACAAGCTGTACACCTTGCCATCTTCCGCCAAGCGCTGTTGGGTGGCTGGAGCGGCCGAATGCCATTTCTCCTCCCAAGCTCCACCGAAGTAGATGCGGAAGTGGCTTGCGGTGTAGGCCTTGCCATCCGGTGCGATCTTCATTTCCAAGACTCCATTCGCCCACTCCTTCTTGTAATCAGCGTGATAGTAGTCTTGAAACTCCTTGGCATTGTAAATGGTTCCATCCTTTGCATAGCGCCTTGCCTCTCCATTCAGGTTGGCCCGAATTGCAGAATCAGTCGCCTGATCCAATCGCTGTGTAGTGCTCCCCTGCGCTGCCTTGAAGGAGTTCAACAAGGCCACAGGATCACAACCCAGCCTCACGAAACTCAAACTCTATCTATCTATCTCTCTCTCTCTCTCTTTCAAGGAGCCTGCTTGGAGACGCAAACAAATCAAACTATATACTTGATTACTGATTACCCATAGTATCAAAACAAGGGCCCACAGAAAGCCTCTGGTAGACAAGCAATACAGACTAAAGGCTTTGGTAGACAAGTGGTATTTACTACAATATTTACTACAAAGCTTTGGTTCGCGGGACCTATTTCTGAAACATGAATTTAGAGGATGAAGAAAAACAGAGACATCTGATGCTATGCCAGCTTTGAAGCTTTCCCAGCTCAAGGCTCTTAGCTTGGGCTTCCGATTTCATGAGATTCACGCCGCTCATGGAATAGAGATTCTTGAAAAGCTCCAGCACCTGGTTGGACTCAGCATAAGCCTTCACAAGTTCAATGGTACGGGTCTGAGCATCTTTCTTGGTGAGGTCAACTCCAGACACACTGAACAAAACCTTCCACATCTCTTTCAGCTCGTTGACATCAACGTGCTGCTCGGCCAGATCAAAAATGCTGGTCTTCACCGTGTCCATAGGAAGGTCTAACAATGAGGTCTGATACATGGTATCCTTCAAATTTTTGAGGTCATTGATGCTCACGTCGCATTGAGTCAACACCGGTGCTTCCTTCACCGCTACTTGTTGAGCATCCGAAGGACTCAGATTTAGTCCATAAGCCGACTGCACCCACTGGGCTAGTTCATTCTGATCAATAGCCACTCCAAGGCTCACAAGGCTCAAAAACAGTTTCAAAGATCCCATGGCTTCACCGAACAAGTTTTGAGCTCTCAACGGCTGCCTAACCCGCGTCTCACCTCTGGCAGGATGGACTGGTCCATAACTGCTACTGTTAAGCTCTGGCTCAGAATCCATACATTGACTTGGAATGCTGCAAGTAGCTCCAATTCCAGTTGCCAAAGTGCTTTGTAAGCGACTTCTCCAAGTGACTTCTCCGACTATCCGGCCTCTTCGATGTCCTGAAATCTAGGTCTCACACAACCAGAACTGGAGATAAACAAGGTCTCACATAGCCAGTGAAATAGCATTGCCCAAGCTCGGCGATTGACTAATTTTGTCTTGGCCGCTGGTGAGTCTCTGGCCGCTGGACGGTGGCCGGTGGCCAGCTGCGGCCGGTGGGCGCTGGCTGGTGGCCGGCGCTTGGGGCGCCAGTGGCGGGTGAGTGGAGGCCGGGCTCCAGCCCACAACATATGGAAATCTGCGAGCACTAGTTTTACTGGGCCGGCCAGATAAGGCAAGGGAGAAGTTGATCGCAGCACCCGAACAACCGTTTGATTAACGCTGCATTCGCTGGAGTTGCGCTGACACCAGCACCTCCAAACCCTTTGGCTGGCGCTGACTTCGCTGGAACTGGAGCGGCTTTGAAAGGCCGGACTGGCGCACGTACCGAATAAAAGGAACAAAAGGAGAAATGCCCGGACAAACTGATTGGTAAACCGAGCGGTCAAAAATTCTTTCTGACTATGTGAAGGAGAACCGCAAGAAAATATCACACGACAACGCGCTTCTTTTCGCAAACGGCGCACACGTCTTAAGGGAATCTTGAAGGGCCGCTGCCCAAGAGGCTGAAGGATGGCCATCGAGAAGAGGGTTGAAGAGGAGGGTCCAGCGTCAGGAAACTTGTCCTGCAAGCAAAAGTTGGTTGGACAGTGGGAAGTCGAACGGCCACATGTAAGATATTGAGACAAACTCTTTTTTGGGCAGCCTGACAGCCTTCTTCAGAAGCAACAAGCTTGATCTTGAGCATCATAAACACTTGGTGAGACCCGTCCTCGTTTTCGCTTCGCTCTGACACGGTCATTGATAGCCTGCAGGCGCGCCAGGTTGCGCACATCGCGCATCTCCTGACATCCGCAGTTGGAGAACCCCCTTAGATTGGCCCTTATCAAAACCAATCCCAAGTCAAATTATTAGCTTTCCACTCTGAAGTAAAAAGCGCGCAGGGCGTCCTGAGCAACAATGTCTGTCGGAAACGTGGACAGAATGGGCTTGCTCTCGTCGAGGTCGGGAAGACAACGCTGACGACAGACATCTCCAACACGTCCAGCGGCGTGGAACCGGTCGAAGTTGAAATTGCCCATAGCTCTGCAATAGCTGAAGACTGTCGGCGCTCCTTGCGCATGAAGCGGAGGTGGCAAGCATCGTCATGGACCAGGGTCTGGAGGTTAAGGAAAATATGAGCCAAAATCGTGTGACAAACTTTCTGCGCCGGTGAGCTCACGTAAGTCTGCCGCCCGTCCTGACAGTTGCAATGATGGCAGTTTGCGAAAGTGGCTACGGCTACTCCAAGATGCAAAGTGGAACACTGAAACTTTGGACCAAAGCTGTTTTGACTCGCTCACAGCAAGGAGGTACTGTGCAGTCCGCGCGGCAGCTGCAATATGTTGCTCCGATTCTTTGTGAGTTTGACAAGAGCTGCTTGCGCGCGACTGCGCTGAACACCATGATGCCAAGACAGTTTTTGGCCCTCGCAGCTGCTTGCCTAGCCGCTTGGCTGCTCGGGGCGCCTTGCTTCTCTGTCTCTGCGCTATGTGAATGTCTGGAATGCGCAGCGGTGAGGGGAAACTTCTTGTACAAGAACTCGGGGTTAAAGGTTTGCAACAAAACAACATTAGCTTCAGGTCCTCGTCTCAATGTTCTGGCTGGCGCGTTCTGCAAAATATTTGGCCAAGGTGGCTTCCGGGATGGTGCAAGCTGACAGGAACGGTAACCAGACATTTGGACCTCGAGGAAGCAAAAATCTCCAGGGCTATGCAAAGCCTTCTTCAGGCGGCGGCGCCCGATTTGCGCGCGCATTGGCTCCAGGGGTCTGTCGCGGTCTGCTGCATGTTTCCCACACAGTGTGTCCTTGGCCGACGGCTTGCAGCTACATCCTCGAAACAACAGCTTTTTGACTGCAAACGGGACTCCACATGTTCGGCGGTGAAATTTGCAATTGCCATCCACTGCCAAAATATCCTTTCTATCTCCCGAAGCTTGAAGCTGCCGAAGACGGCTGCAGGGGCACAAGCTTGTCACGCCGATGCGAAAGCAACGGCTATCAAATGAGGCCTTAAACACGTGGAAGTTGAAGAGCGGTGATGGCGCATTCTGATCGCTCACTAATTTGCATTTTTTGTTTCAGCTTGCCCACAGCACCTCTGAAACATACGCGGCTCGCACCAAGTCCAACAGCTCTCAACAAGCTTCTCCAGCGGCAAGGCCAAGATCTTTTTGGCCAGCTCTTCCTGCACAGCTCCACCAATTTCTCGCGCCCTCCGCCACAAAATTTCTCGCGCCCAAACAGCGGACAAGTTCTGACAGACTTTCACCTGAACACATGGGTCAAGCGAGCGGAGAAGAACTCCCTCGCCAAGGAAGAGGCCCTGTGGAGGAACAACCGATAGCGCCAGCGTCTCGGCCACCTGCGCGCAACTCCCCAACCGACTCTTGTTCAAGAGGGAGTTATCGGCGCGAGGCTCGTCTAGGGTCTTGATGAGGATCCTACGCCCATGAGTCTTGGATTGCTTTTCCAGAAACCCACACCAATACCGCACGGGGTCGCGAAACACGACGAGCTTGCAAGGTCTTTGGCACTGCAATAATTTGACAGCTCACTATACCTCTCTGCCTCTTACCTTCCCTTCTAGATGTATTCACGCGCAGCTGCCCCACCATAAGGGCAATGAGTGCAGTTCAAAGAAAGCAGCAAGAATGACTTTCGCCCGGCCATAGTCCAGGCAGTCCATATGGGCTGACTACTGCGCATGCGTTATCACTGGCTTGAGACGAAAAAGGAAAAGCAGAAGACGTGTCAAGTGCCACAGGAAAGAGATCGAAGCACCCCGACCTTTTTCAGATTAGCGCCGGAACAATGACCCAAGACCCAAGACCTTCCCGCCGCCAGTTCTGGCCTGCCCCTGCGACGGTCTGGAATCATTGATGTCAACGATGTCGGCGCTGCGAGCAAGTTTGAGGTTGCTTTGGCCACTCAAGAGAACTTTGTGCGCCAAAAGCCGGTCTGGGAAAGTATAGCCTCCCTGAAGATCATGGCGTTGTCTTTGCCGAGCCCTGTTTTTGAAAAGGTCAGACTGGAGCTGACTAAAAGTCAAAGGCGCTGCTTCAGACGCCAATGTCCTCGTCTGCAAGCTCATGATCCGTGTTGGGGATGGCGGGAGTTGAGTGGCGACTGGCTCGCCAAAAGGACCGGAAATTTGGACTGGCTTACTAATGTCTGCGAGGAAGGCAAAGGCCCACGGAACTGCGCGCGGATCTGCAAGTTCAATTCAACTAAATGACTGGCCACCTGCTGCTGGGTTGAGACGGATTCAAAAAAACCGCAGCAAAGTTAACCAAAACATTGAAAAAGGGTCAGGCCTCGCCTCGACTCTCGACGTGTTTGGCGTTGGCGGTCACGAGCAAATTGTCAGCCGCGTCGAAGCTGCCTTCGCCACTGGCCAAGGCCAAGACTGCGACCGCAGCAGACATCTGGCCATGGTGAGCAGCTGCAGCGGAGTGAAGTGCTTGTTTGGAAGGATCCGAAGTCTCCGCGCGAACACTTTGAGCTACTTGATTCCCTGGCTGGAAACAATAAACAGTGATAGAGACCACAAGACATGTTTTCGTTTTACTCTACTCTTCGGTAAAATGCCTATGGACACGAACCTGTGTAAATGCACCCTGTGCGCAGGGTCAGCTGCGGGGACAATGCGCAAAAAGTTGTCGCAGCTGGGGCCCAAGGAAACCCCGCGAACCCAAAAGCATTTTGCGCGCGTTGTCTTCCATAGCCAGCACGGAATGGCGCCGGGAGCGGGAAAAGTCCGTCACCCGCTTCCTGCTTGTATGTGCTCAGTGGGGTCTTGCGTGCGCCAGAAATGCGCAATTCCGTTTGCAAGGATGTCAGTTCTCCTCAAAGCAGGGGAATGGAAAGAATGTAGGAAGCTTATGAATGGCACCACGAACAAGAACAAAAGTAAACAAATACGCCACCACACCTCCAGCTGCGGGCACAAATCAAACACGAGAAGGAACGCCATCAGGCAACATCACGGGGAAGCCTTCCTCGCCAGTTTCCTCATCAGCTCCGCTGACCGTGTCCTTGACATAGCCCGGGTTCCCCATCCAAAAATGGCGGCTTGAAGAGGCGTGAGCGGAAGCCAAGTCCACTTCGGCAAGTCAGGGTCTGAGTCTAACATGCTCTGGGGAAGGGCATCACGCCGAGCAACACTATCGTCGACGCAGAGCAAAAAACCTTTCTTTCGTCGCAGCTGCGCGCTGGCCGCGCTCCATGGCTATGATCTTGGAAGGGTGGGCGTTGGCCTTGGCCAAGATGCTGAGACTGATGCGCTGCGAACGGTTCCCTTCATACGTGGTGGAGGTTCTTGTGGTCCTCTTTGTCTGTCCCCGTTGGATCAACGGGTTCAAAGTGGACGCGTGCAGGTTGACTGCTGCAGCACGACTCCCCAGGACAGCCCAAAAGGCTCAAGCTCTCTAACATTAGGCCCCATCTTGACAAACCACAGCCGGATGGAGTCTTTGTCTTTCTTCCCTCCATATTCAATCTGAAGAAACTCTGCGCTGCAACGGAAGAAGAATTCAGACATTGTCACACTCTGAACACTGATTGATGGCTGTCAAGGTCTTGCCGCGCTGACCAGCCAAATCCTTGACACAGAGGTCGGCTTCTTCCTTCGTACACGCGCCGTGGGCAAAACCCATCCAACTTACAAAGGGCAGACACTAGCAATAACGTTGCCCCAAAACTT